TCTCGCACACGCTGCAACATACGCTCGCCTGCCGCAGCCCACGTGGACACCCTCCACATGCCGGGATGGCCTCAGCCCTGACGCGCTCCTGGCCCTTTCCGTGAGCCCCGCCACCGGCAGCCCCCTCTTGCCCCACTCCGGATTTCCCCAGCAGTGACACATCCTTCCCCAGCGCACATCCCCACATCCCCTTTCCTGGGAAGAGCTGCCACGGGGCTGTGCCACCCCTCCTGCCGTGGGCACAGGTACCCTGGCGCAGGCACAGATGCTGCCATCGGCTATCCGGGGTTGGCCTTGCCGTCCCCTCGCCAAAGCCTTGCAGGGTGCAGGAGGGCTTGAGGGCACGCTGCTCCCCCGAGAGCAGCAGTGCAGCTTCGTTCACGCGGGTCGCTAGAAGAAGGCAGGGGGGTCCCCTGGTCTCTGGCCCAGGTGGGTGGCTGGGGGTGGCAGGAGCTGGCCACGCTGGGACCTGCGTGGCTGGCCCCAGTGTTTTGAGATCGTTGTTTTGGGCTCAGCTCCCGTGTATTGGTTTGTGGCCAGTTTAAACTGGTTCGCAGCTTTTATAAGGTGTGGGATGAGTGGGATCCTGCGAGTGCCGGCAGCTCCGGAGGGGAGCCCCTGGTGGGGGGTGGTGCTGGTGGTGGTGGCCATGTGAGCCCACATGCCCGGGGTGGCCGGCACGGCTCTCCGGGTGGCAGACACCCGCTCACAGCCCAGACCAGAGGGGAGCAACTCTGAAGCTCCCTACCAGGCTTTCAGCTGCAGCATCTCCCCCTCCAGCATGGCCCCAGCGGCCCAGCGAGCCGGTGCCGCCCTGCAGCGGAAGGAGTGGGGGGACACCACCTGCCCGCTGCTCTTCATCCAGCTCAACCAGCTCCTCAGCACCCCAGCGGGGCTGGAGTGGAGAGAGACGGCCAGGTAGGCGTGCCTGCAGTGGCCAAACTGCCTGGCGACACTTTGGGAAGCCCAGCCTTCGAAAGCCCAGCTCTGACGGAGCCCATGGCATCTCCCAAGGCTGGTGGTTCCTCAACCTCAGCCCCAAAGCAGGGCCGCTCACTGCCCTCTGCCCCCGCCGGTGCCTGCGCTGCTTCTGCCTGGCTCAGGGTGACTCGTTTCATGGGAGAGGGCAGGGTGTCAGGCAGGGCGCAGGCAGTGACCCTGCACGGGCACAGTGCCCTTGCTCCTGCTCCTGCCTTTGCTGCCTCTCCAAGGCTCCAGTGGCTGTGCCAGGGCTGGGACGGTGCTTTGACGCTCCCCAGATCCAGCTGCCCAGCATGTCTCAGGAGGCGATGGGGGGGTGTAGGTCAGGGCAGGCTTGGCTGGGGATGATGGGGCCCAACGGAGAGGAGCCGGGGCCAGCTGGGTGCTGGTGTGGGGCAGGAGCGTGGCTGCGGTGTCCCCACACCCCACACCGCCCCTCTGCAGCTCGGCAGGGGCACAGGGACATGGGCCACGGGGGTCCGGGGGCAGCGGTGGG